TTTTCTTTTCCGGGTGCGTGACACATTTAGCCATTAGTAAACAAATCAATCTTTATGTACATTTGYCAAAATAAACACGGTTCTTAATCCTAATTATTATTGAATTATTTTTGATTTTTACCTTGCTCCGTACCTTTCCCATTCCTCCAGTTTCTCTCTCATCTCAGCCATTGTTTGATCATCCCGCTTGCTTTTCTCTTTCATTTCAATCAGTTTTAATTCCATTGTGTTGAGCTCCTTTGCTAGCTCGCTTTCAAACTCTTTGAAAATATCAGTCGACTCATTGGATTTCATTCTCGCAAGTTCAGATGTTCTCAACGACAAGTCGGATTGAACTCGGTCATGTTCATTTTCAAGCTCTTTCAACTTTCTTTTTAACTCGATAATCTCATCTTCGCGTTGTTTGAGATTGTCCTTCAAGATATCTTTCTCCGCTTCGGTCTTCTGAGCGGTGTTTTTAGCCATTCTCATCTGATGTTCTAAATTTAATACATTTTCTTTCRAGACTAATCCCATTTCATCTTTTTCCCTTATTTCTTCCTTTAATGACTTTAGATTCCTTTCTCCCACAACTATTTCAGTTTCTTTTCTTTTATCCTGTAAAGTCAAAAGTCGTAAACTAGCTCGAGTTTTGGAGCACTCTTCTTTGAGTCGATCTCTTTCTCCCATCAGACGACGAATATTATCCTTTGCCTTGGATAACTCCTCTCCCCGTATCTCTAATTGTGTCTGAAGTATTTTAACCTCGGTAGCTCTATAAGACCCCAGCGCATCAGCCTGAGAAGTACTAGTGCTCCCCACATTATCTAAATTACCAGCTAGAATGTTATTCAGTCTTTGTTCTCGCTTCCGTAAGTCACGGATGTCATCGTAAGCAACAGTTAGCGCGTCTACCACCTCCCAGTTGCTTTGTTTGGCTTTCAAAAGTTCGCTGTTCAAACGAATTATCGCTGATTTATCAGACTGTATTGAGGAGGACCTTGATAGTGCTTCATCACTTTGTCTGTCTGTCTTTCCATTCAGATGATTCAAAACGCTTACTGCAGAATCACTATCCAAGTCCGATTCAGTTATTTTGTCGTCGTGTGTAGACGAACAGCTGTCTTCATACGCATTAAAATCGTTATGGATTTTCGTAGAAGCGATATTTTTTTCATGGTCGCTACTTTTCTCGTTATTTGTGGTAAAAAGATCTTCCTCTGCGGCAATCATGTTCGTCCAAATACATCTGACATTGTGATCGACGATCTTTCAAAATTAACTGATCTTTCGTCGTCACAATCGTTCAAAATGACGCCAAAACTACGCCATCGGCCGAGCGCGAGCGCTTTTCCCGGGAAATTTAAAGCCTCTCAAAAAAATACAATTTACACTCGCGTTAAAGCAGTGAAATGGCTTCCTTCTGTAGTTTGTTAGTTTGTTTAGACAAAAATTCCCCCCGAAAATTATTCATAGACGAATCAACATTCCAAAATAAGCTTTCATTTTCCGTGGCAACAAGAGCCTATTATTCCTGTGTAAATAATTTTCTGTCGTTAAACGAACTTGGTCATTATTTGAATTTTTTGAAATGAATTTTCTCGTTTTCTAATAAAATAAATACATTTTTGTGATTTTATTTGCCATTATTTTCACTTTGTACAAAAACTAAAAAAGATGACGATGCAGGGATAATAATACATTTACTATTTTACAATTACTACCGTTTGCGTTCGACCATGAAGCGTGACCAATTTTTCGCGCAGGTTTACTTTTCAAACGTGACAGTTTCCCAGACATCTGTCTCCACTAGTCCAATGAAAATGTCGCGTTTACACTATGAAACTTGGCGGGTTTGTCACACAGACGTTGCGCCTTTGCTTCACATAGTTTGCACGTTTACAGATATTTCGAGACAGTTTGTCAGGTTTCTCTTGTTTCCATTTATGTACTAGTATCACTGAATTAAAAATCTAAAAATGTCTTTAGTGCAAGTCAAGGTGATATATGATTATTACACCTCCAAGCGAATTACTCCATTTTTTATAGCTGAAGATGAGCTTTTGGAGTATGATTTCCAAGCGTTCAAAGAACGTATTGTGCGAGAAGTCCCTCATCTGGGCAAAGTTACAAGCTTGTCTACTGCGCCGCTTCGTTTCACTATAAACGAAGAAGAACACGAGGTTGACATATCTCCAGTATATTTTTCTTTTCAACTCAAGGAAGCTCTGTCAAAACGAAAAACGATCAGCGTTCAAGCATTTACATTTCAGTCGCCATCAGTTGAGGAAGTTCGAATCAGTCGAGCATCACAGTTACGAACATCGGAAGACAAACCGCACGCGAGAAGATCCCTTCAGTTAAAAGGTAGTTTGGAACACGAGGATTATGAAAAAGTTGATTTATGCCGAGAACAACCATGCAAATCTGACGCGGAAGAATTCTGTCAAGCACCAATTCGGGAAAACACCAAAGAAAAAACACCAGTCGAGCGCTATATCCAAAAGACAGAAGATGAAATCACCAAAAAGCAAGAACTTATCAGTCGCCTTGAAAACAAGGAACAAGAAATACAAGCAAAACTAGATAGGGTTAAGTCCGACCCTCGTGATGGGAACATTTGCAGGAACTGCCACTTGCGTTTGGGACATAGCGCGCGAACGTGTGAGTTTGGTCGTTGCACGTCAGTTTTCAAATGCGGAGAGGAAAAGTTTCACAGTGGTGAGATAAACTTGAAAAACGCACCCAAATTAGAAAACATGAAACTGAACTAAGCAAGTTAAAGAAGGAATTAGATAATAAAACAATTGCTTTAGAATCAATGAAAGAGAAAGCAACGAATAAAATAGAATCAGACCTGTTTGAAGCTAATCGAGACGACTATTTACTAAATGGCAACAAAAATTGGTCTTTACTGCGAAAGCACGTGTACCTTGTCGAACAATACTCAAAAAAACATTTTAGAGGCAAAATACCGGCAAAAAAGGATATCACTGCGGTTCTACAAAGAGCGCTTGACTCGTGTGACGAACTTAGCAATACCAGTATGTCAAGGCCTAAGCAGAAAAGGCGCGAAGATAACCCAGCTAAATCTACATTAGAAAGACACGGAATCAAGTTTCCACGATTCAGTTCACTAGATAATATTTCTGACGTGGAACAAATCAGCGAACCTCCCCCACTTTTATACACTGCACCGAAAAACCAAAGAGAAGAGGCAGAGCAGCTTGCGATTGTCATGCGGGAAAGTCTGCGCCAGAATTACGAAGAAAGTTCTCAAGGTATTTTCCCTTCCTTTGAAAAAAACCGTGTACTTCCCCCTGTACTTGGATATTCACCGATGGGCATTCCATTTTACAATTATGAAATGGCCAGAATGAGCTCTTGCGTGCCAAGTTTTAGCTATGAATCAAGTCCCACGGAAACGACCGAATTGACAAGTCGTCCTACTTCAACATACACATCAACCTGTGCGAACACAAATCCAACTTCTACCGCTGATTGCCCCTCTTTGCCGGAATCACAAACGGATCTCTCAGCAGCAGAAACCGCGGCCAATCTACTGTTAAGTTTGAGCCAAAGAAAGGAATCTATGGAAAACACTTAATCGGGACTATAAACTTGTCACCGGTCTGAAGTTTTGTCTGCATATAAAACGTTTGCTTTACTTGAATATGTTATCCAGTTGTGCGTGATCTGAAATTGTAAAAGATTTTGAAATTAAGCTCCCTCTATATAAACGTATTATGTTGGGTTTCAAGTTTGAAGATAAAAACCAAAGTTGTATTTTATTGAAAAAAAATTGAGTTGTATTTTTATTAAAAAGAAATTGATTCAATGTTGACAACGTTTTCTCTGACCTTTTCTGACAAGAAGTCAATCAGTTTATATAGCTTTTTGAATCAACCCAAAAAAAAACGAGAAGTCTAATGCCTTGGGAATAAAGTTTTTACAAACAAATAAGAAGTGGCCTTATAGAATCCAGCCATGTCTTGGTTTGTTATTCTTTCAACTGCCTCCATTAACGCAAGCTTTGTATTTGTGTACGTGAGGCTTTGAAGTTCCCCATTTAGCAAAGTTTTCACCTTGTTAAAACAAAGCTCGATTGGGTTTAAGTCAGGTGAATAGGTTGGCAAATACAATAGTTCTATTCCCATTTCTCCTAGCCAGTCTTCTAGAATTTCTCCCCCTTCGAAATGATGGCCGACAAATTGTCTATGACTATTATATCGCCAACTTGTAAACAAGGACGCCCAAACTGCAAATTCACGCAGTTCCCAGCCTCCTCGAAAAACTCCAAAAAATGCAAAGTATTGGTCGCACCGTCAATCAGGTTATAGTATTCAGGTCCATTCAACGATACTAACATGTTGAGGGTTGTATTAGGCGATTCTGCTTTCCTCGTAACTTCCACGCAGCGAGTTCCCGCGGAGCTATGTCCGTATAATCTAGTTCCCACATCTGGTAACTTTATACCTGATTCATCAAAGAATTTCAGCCGTCTAGGATCTTTCGTTGCTAAGTAATTGATGAAAAGTTGTGTATAAAATATGTTTGTAGCTGTAAAACGCTCACTAGCGATCTTCGTAATTTTTTTTCTCGTGTAAGGGCCCGAAGGTAGTCTCTGCTTGATTGCTCTCGAAACAGCAGCCATTGACACGTCTACACCGTCCATTTCGTCGAGGCAAGTTATTATTTCTGCAAGTGAAATAGACGGTTTTTCGATTTTCAAAAGTTCGATAAGTTCCAAGTCGTCCTCTGATAATTTGCTCCACTTTGTGCCGCCCTTGGGTCGAGAATCAATCGAGAATTCCTCGCAAAATTGCCTCCAAATCTTTGCTACAGTGTTGTAGGAAAGCTGCAGTTCCTCGGAAAAATATCGAAGTGATCTTGGAATATATCCAGTCGCTCGATCGCCACCTTCCTGTAAAATTCTATCTATTATCATTGTTCTCATATCTTGATCCAGTGCAACTCCAGTTCGATATGTTCGTCCAAATCTGTTTACACGAAATGCATCCATACTTGCCCTACAAACCTGACAAACTGTCTCGAAATATCTGTAAACGTGCAAACTATGTGAAGCAAAGGCGCAACGTCTGTGTGACAAACCCGCCAAGTTTCATGGTGTAAACGCGACATTTTCATTGGACTAGTGGAGACAGATGTCTGGGAAACTGTCACGTTTGAAAAGTAAACCTGCGCGAAAAATTGGTCACGCTTCATGGTCGAACGCAAACGGTAGTAGTTTTTGACAGTTTGTTACATTTATTATATTGCTATGATTAATAGTAAAGCCATATCCTCCTGAGATAATGAGTTATCAAATCAACGCTATCCTACAAAGTTTTAGGATATAACTAAAGAATTATTTTCTCACATTTCAATTACTGTATGATTTTTTTTAACTGTGAAAACTTAATTTGGTACGAGTGAAAAACAGCGGGTATCCGTTACTTCAATTTTTATAAACATACGAACTCTGTGTCTGCGAGCTGCACGCTGGTTCTTCGCTGCCGTCAATCAAACCTAATCAGTCAGTACCTTTCATATTTTTGACTGGCGGCAGCGAAAAACACAGAGATCACATGTTTATGAAAACTGCAGTAAGACATTTTTTTTAGTCATACATATTAGCTTTCACTGACAAATTCCATATCTTGCCTTTTTTTCCTTATCATAATATGAATAACTTCTTCTGATTAGAGTATGGACAAGTGGAGAAAAACTACAGCAAATGGGTAATCGTACTGTGGGTTTCGTTTATTGCCGTAACCCTAACTACGCGTTTTCAATCCGTGGCTTTTATGGTTCCATTCATACAATGTTTTCTGTGACGAAAGTCGTTTGTGAGTTCAGTTCCACGAACTAGGTGCATTGTGGTCTTACTTGGGTGGAAATATAAGAAACATGCCAAAGATAGACCATTAACGCCCTCAAAAAATCTTTTCTACAGCAACTGGACTAGGTCGAAGTCTCCTAACCTTTTTTTAGGTTTAAAAAGTCCTCTCCTTGACATGAAAAAATCTGCTCTTTTAGCAGCTTACGGTAAACATATTTGCGAGCCACAATGACTTGGGTTATGTTATCTGTAGCTAATTGTTTCGCCTGTACTATATTAGCCATATTTTAGTGCACTGTGGGACTGTGTTAGGGTACGAAATATACGCCATCTTGGAAACATGTCCCCTAAGCAGCCCCACAGTGCACTGCAATGCAAACTCAACACAGTCTTTTCCCTCTAACTCGAAATGGATCCTCGTCATATGAGGAGAATGAATCTCGAAGAAATGCGACAAACCACGGCATGACATGGTGACAGTCAAGATGGCCATTAAAATGATTTTCTCTAGTAGATCAGTAACTAAAGTTTGTCTGGTCACACAAATTCTCAGTTTTCTTTGTCCATATGGTTAACATACTAAACGTGACCAACCTGCGCTACTCTCATCTGTTTTCTCAGCGACGCCATAGGACTATGCGACCGTGCTCTCCCAGCCAAAGGAACCGACAGGGAATTGGGTCGAGTTATATCCTCCAGCGATTTACATCGTTTGTCTTTCTTTTCTAAAGTCGCCGTGTCGAAGGCCAATTTTTTATGATTCAAGCAATCTGCCACGACTCGATCGGCCTGAAGGTATCCAAAATGTCCATGAAAGCGAAAGGTATAGACAGTTTCCGGGGGGCCAAAGGAGTACTTCGATATTCCAGTCACATAGATCTTAGACTTATTACTCATGATAGAGACCACTTTATCCCATGAGAAGTCGTTGAGAAGTTTCCCTGGTTCGCGATATTCATTGGGTAAAGACACTTTCAGTCCTTTAGCAGCGATCACAAATAGTATTTCGTTGCCGTCATCGTCTGTCGCGCCCCTGTGGATCAGTTCACCGTACCCCTGAACACTCTGGCAAAGATCTACGAACGCCAACATGGCCTCATTGGTCGTCATACGCTTGCGTGACTTGTGTAAATCCGTCACCATCGTTTCATAGACAGCTTCACTGATATCGAAATTGGAGTTGATGAAACTAGGGTGAGAAAAGAAAGTCGATCCTAATAAGCCTTCAAGGTAACCATATCCATGGTTCTCTTCGTTAAAATCACCGAGCTCAGCCTGTGCAAAATAGCTATCAAGGATAGCGTGTTTGTTTATAGGCAGGTGTAGTTTGCCTCGACTGATAAAATCCTTCAACTGGAACATCAATATTCTTAACAGTTGAACATCCTGATGTAGTTTAAGTTGACGAGTAGGGAAGACTTGAACTGCCAATTGAAGGCTCTGTAATTTACGTTTCTTCTTTGTAGGAAGCGGTTTCTCTAGAAGAAGCCAACTCATTTCTCCATCTTTTCGATCAACGTACTGCAAGCCGAAATATTTTCGGTAACTTAGCGGTATTTCAGCTTTCTCGCATACCTGGTCAAACAGCTCGAATCCTTTGACTTCTTTCGACTCGAAAGTCGTAGAGAATTCCGAGTTATCCAGCAGTATCACGTGAAACTCCAAGAAGTTAACGGGTGAAGAAAGCGGCCGAGAAGGCCGCTTTCTACGGCCGAGAAGGGAAGCCATTTTCACCTGTAACAGAGAGCAGAACACAAAGAATAAATATCAGAATACCTTTTTGAGAGGCAAGACTCATGATGAATTTAATGACCTATGTAAAAAGATATCATTTATCAAAACACACCACGCCTACATTAATGAATGACTGCAGGGGGTAGGTTGTCGTCAAAATCCGTAAAATTTCTTTTAAATTTCCGGGTTTTTTCCTTCTTTCAATCGATTGTTTTAGTCCTATCCTCTCCTTTCGAAATGTTATCTGATAATTCTAAATATTTTGTAATAAGATGAAAATATAAGTAATATTTAGATAAATAAATGCCCCATCACGCTACGCATGATAAGTATGCGTGACTTTGGCTGAACAGTGACGTAATCAGACGTCATACAACACAAGTACGTGCCAATATATCGTCTAATTATAGTTTTGAACTGTGTGAAAAACAACTTTTAAAATTACTTAAAATAGTTGTCTAAGTTGTTTAAGTAGTCTTATTTTAACAATGCGATGAAGTGATTTCATTGCTACGATAAAATTCAAGGAAATATAAAGATATGAACCACTCAAAGAACACAGTTCACCTCGCAAGTCAAGTTGATTTTTCGGTTTAAACAGAGTCAATATTATTAACTCTGGTTTAAAGGACGATAAAATATGGATATGTGAATTGTGATGGAACGGACTATATTGCTAAATTTGAACAAGTTTTAACGGTTATAGGCAAAGATACTGAGACAGCCTTTAATAAGACGTTTTTTGATAGGAAAGTAAATAAGACAAACCAAAAGCAGAAAAATTGACAAACCAAAACGACATGTATTAAAACAAAGAAACAGAAGATCAAAGTTCTACTAAAAAAAAACTAAAAAATGTTAAGAACAACAATGCTACGAAGTACAGTTAACATAGAAAAGTATTAATCGCAAGAACTAGATATTTCAAGACGGTAAAACAATGGAAATGTTTCAAAAGCACCCTTTCACTAAAAAAAACTCGGTGGCTTCTAAGCGTGATGTAAAAATAAAAAATAAAAAATAAATTGATCAAAATGAAAAATTAGTGACGAGTAAATAAACGAGTATGTTAAGAGACGAATTGCTCGTAATAATACAATTCTTTACTGATATAAGTGGCTCCTAAACTAGTACTTACCGAAATGCCCATATTAAGTAGTAGAAGAAGAACTAGATATTTCAAGACGTTGGTAAAACAATGGAAATGTTTCAAAAGCACCCTTTCACTAAAAAAAACTCGGTGGCTTCTAAGCGTGATGTAAAAATAAAAAATAAAAAATAAATTGATCAAAATGAAAAATTAGTGACGAGTAAATAAACGAGTCTGTTAAGAGACGAATTGCTCGTAATAATACAATTCTTTACTGATATAAGTGGCTCCTAAACTGGCACTTACCGAAATACCCATATAAAGTAGTTGTGGTTAGTGTATGGAAGAATAAGCCAGAGATCTAGATGTGCCTATATAAAGGAGTTAGACTTGTATTTTATATGACCCCACGCAGTTGACAAGCAGAATTTTAAAAATTTAACCGGATCTAGCCGGAAATAAACACTGGCTCTTAAAATAGACATATCATTTTTTGTTCTCGTTCCACAAATCAAAAACGAGAATGCAAGAGGAAAAAATGAGAGATTACTGATGTCTGAATTCACTAGATGGTATTATTCTGGGAAAATGACTCAATATAATATAATGGAACTCAAGTAAGCACAAAAAGCATAAGTTAATTGTTTTCTGGATTAAGAAGGGATAAAGTCGTGAACGTGCTCTAACCCGCGACAGGGACGACGGAAATGATAATACGTACAACGTCATGACTTTAAAATATTCGCTTTTTTTCAAGTTCCTTTGTAGCTGAGGAAATCTAAGCCTAAAATTCTTATAAATAAAGTAATCCGACTCTCACGCATTGCAGTAAGTATTGAAGGAGTGAGAATCCAAGAATATCAAATGCCTTCCACTCTCGATCAATCAAAATGCCCGAAAATCAACACCATTCAATCACATCATTTTTCTGGTTAGAGGATGTTAATTACTTCAGACTTCAAGAATGATATTATTTTTGAATTATTTTAAGAAAAAGAAAAGCAGCGAGAAGTTAAACGCAACCTAGGGAAAACCTCATATTAGGCTGTCACGCTCAGAATCAAGTGTAATAAATTAGCTTCAAAAACTTATAGATTTCA